CTTATGCGACAGCAGAACAGGTCTATGAGCCGCATAATGACCGCATACCAGGTCAGTTTACGCCTAGTTTTGGAGGCCAAATTATGCGGCCAATATGCGGACCCAATATCAATTATGCGATCATAGACCTTGTTCTGGAGCTCCAATTTTTGGTTTTTAAAACCCTACCCTACTTCGTTAAATCTACGCTTTGGACCATTTTTAGCAAAAATCTGATGTTTTAGAGAGAAGGGAGAGTGTTTTAGAGAGAGAGAGGAAACCCTAGGCTAATTATTCATCAAGTCTTGCTCAAATCTTGGAAGATTAACAAGGAAAACCCACAAGTTATTCATCTAAGAGGTAAGGTTCCATACCCTAGTTTTCAATTTCGAATTTGGGTAGAAGATGGTTGATTAGGAGTATGATTCTTGGGTATGAGAGTATTATCTATACATGCATGTACCAATAAGATTTGTGGGAAGATTGTTGAGCTTAAATAAGTAAGGATTGGATTGTGTAATGAAGGAAATCTTGTAGAAGAACCTTGTGGTTAAATTTGCATACCTAGTGTTTGATAAAATGCTCAAATGAGCTGAGACCATAAATATCTTCCTAATTATGGTTCAATTTTGTTATGTCTCAAAATATATTGGGATTGCTAGAATTTTTGGAACGTTGTAGTAATTTAAGGAAAGCTCAATTGAGGTATGTTGGCTTAACTTTCTCTCTTAGAATAGATATCCATAATGTTTCTGTAAGATCAAGTATGATTGGCTCAATATTCTTAACTTCTATATTCCGGGTTATTCCCTATAAACTTGATTATTCCGAATGAGCCTTATGTCGAAAGATAGATGTTCAAAGTATGGTTTGCGTATTAAAATATTGTGGCTTTGAGTCGTGTTTTAAATGAGAACAAGTATACCAATTTGGGTGAGAAAAACCCGATATGCTTAAGACTCAAAATTGCTCATATGTGTACCTAAATTCTTGATTGAAAATATCTTATTGTTGATAAACTATAAAGGTGGTTGGAAATGAAATAATTGAATTGGGGATATAGAGTGTGGCCAACGTGCCAAGAATTTAAGTTATAGTTGTGGCTAGTGGTACCAATGAAATGAGAATATGTGATAAAGATTATGAAATGAGCCTCGACTCAAATGTTTTAAAATGACTTCGAAGATACAATTGCCTAAAAGCTTTTGTACTCAAGTCATGCCATATGTGGCTGTTTTAACAAATACTATGCTTTGTGAGTATTTTTAATGTGTTTTGCTTTCTTACATATTCGTGAGTTGAAATTGTGTATTGTCTTTTTTGGGAGAAAGTATTTCAAGAATAAATGGTGTGTTACTTATTGATGATTTTAACTTGCGCATCAATTGCCAATTATATTACTCCATTTCTATGAAGAGTATTCCTTCTATCTAGTGGGATGTACGTGCTATGATTTGAGTTCGGGTCTCTTGAGGAGGTTCGTATGACTGTCACAAGGATGAGTATGCACTCGGCGGATGATTTGGAAGGCATGATGACTAGTACATCATGAGCCTATGAGGAGATTCAGCTGGATGGCAGTGCGAGATTATGGAAATTATGAAGAAAGAGTATGGTGGATTAGCAGATGATGTGTTTTGTGGCTTCGAGCCAAGTGGGGGAGTCTATTATCGACAATCAGATCGCATGGTCATGTATTATATCAATTATTGGGCTAAGGGCCGCTTGTGGATTAGTTATGACTCGAAGAGGATGACTTCGATGATGGATCGAGCAAGGGATTGCTGGATGCATGATGTATTATACTTAATGGGTATACGGAAATCTTGGGATAATTCATGATTGTTATTCCTTTGTGGATGTAGTGTGCATGAATAAGGAATTTCTCGGTTTCTTCTTTTGTAGTATTCATGTTCTAGAGAACTGCTAGTTGTTTGGCATATTTGACTATGCATTCGTGGCTTGGTCGAAGTGAGTGACTCTCGCAAATAGTTTTAGTGGGTCCAAGACTCATATGTGGTATCTTGAGGATTTGCTGAATTTCATTATGTGGCTAAGGATTTGAGATTTGCCTTGGATGGTGCCAAGACTTGCAGTCTTACTATATCATTATTGATTCTATGTTGCAGTCTTAGAGAGATAAGAGAAATAGTTGTGGATTCACAAAAGGTCTTTTTAGGGCGAGCATTTCGATTTGGGTTACTTTTGGGATTGACAGTATGTGTGACTTGGTTGTTTGTATAGATCATGTTCTGATGGCTTGGCTATGTGCTAATAGGTTTCGAAGAACTCACGATTATTTTGACCATGGCTTGAGGTTGATGTTTTCTATGTGCATAGGAGTTTTTTTGCATGTTGCGATGTTCTCCTGAATTGTGTTAGATCGAAGGTTTCTATTTTATGGAGTGTTTATCCTACTCGTGATTCAGAGTTGATAATGAGGTTTGCATATTTTCTTATTGTAGCACGGTAAATGCATTGAGTCATGAGGGGTTCGGATTGTAAGGACAAGCTTATGGTTCAGTTCCAAAAGAAAGTCAAGAGTTTTAGACATCATGGGAGATTTCAAATGTTTAAAAGGATTCTAGCACTATCTTGTATCGCCTGAGTAGGGTGAATGTGGTAGTATGTATTGTGTGATGATCTGCGGATGCTTGACTGGTACTACGGAAATTACATGATTGGTAACTATTGATATTCAGGTTTTGCTATATGGCACAGAAGATTTATGGGAGTACTTCTGATGATTATGTATGAGTGACATATCAGTCATGTGAGTGGGAGAGTTGTAGATCAGATATGGAAATTTCTATATTCTTGAGGTTTATAGACTGTTCCTTGGTTGTGGACTGTGAAGGTGTGTTAAGAGTTGGGATGACTGAATTCTTTTGTTGTGGTTGGTCCATTGTGGATTTTTGGGAGGTTATTTACCTATTTTGGGATGATAGAAATTGTTTTTTTTTTTTGGGGGGGGG